CGGCCGCCGCCGCTGCCGCCGCCGCCGCCGCCGCCGCCGCGTAGTAGGGAGCGTAGCCCCCCGCGCTGCTGCTGCCGCCCCCGCCGGGGCCACCCCCGCCGCCGGCCCCCGCGCCACTGCCGCCGCCGCCACGGTACGGCCACTTGGCGCGCTCTAGGCCGTAGTCGCGGAAGGCCACCTCGCGCACGGGCTGGACGTGCGGCGCCAGGTTGGAAGAGTAAGGAAAATTCATCTGGCAGGACGATGGCTGCGACAGGAACGACGGCTTGCTGGCGAAGTCCGACGGGGCCACATAGTAGGGCGCAGCCGGGGCAGGTACATACTAGCTGCGCTCGGGCCCGCACTCGTCAAAGTCGTTTCATGGCTCCGCGGCGTGCGCGCCGGCCAGCCCTGGGCCGCTCCCCGCGCCCGCCAACCTGAGCCATTGATTGCACACGAGGCTTGGGCCAGGATCAACTAAGCAAAAATCCCCACCGGGCGCTGACGTGCAATTCATCTTGATTGATTCTGGTGGTAATTATGTCACGTGACGCCATGGAGAGAAATGTCCTTATATCTATATCAGCGCTCGCCAACACGCCCCGGGACGGCTCCTGGCGCCGAGACACGCGCGTTGGGGGCGGATCGACCTCCCTCTCCAGCCAGATCTCCTTGGGCGCCCCCGACTAGGCTGCTCCGCAGACTGGTCACCTGTGCGCCGCCGGTGGCTGCCACTGCTGGGTGCATCTGCCACCGCCCGGCTGGGCCGCCCGCCCGCGCCGCTTAAGTACGCGGACCGAGGCTGACGGGGAGGAGGAGGGAGGAGGAGGAAGGGGGAGGAAGGGGGAAGGGAAAGAAGCGGAGAGCAGAGGGGGGAGCCCCGGGCCCGGGGCACTGGGGACTAGGTGTGAGGGTGTGAGGTTCCCACTCTCCACACCCCTTCCAGCAGCCGATCCCTCCCCCCGCGACGCCACCACCCCTGCAGCGTGCCAGCAAGGAGCTTGTTGCATCTCCTTCAAGGGGCGTGATTGCGCAGCTCTCGGGGCGCAAGGAGTCTGATTTACATATTTCTCTGCCAAGCGCTTTCGCTGCAGAGTAACTTGGCTCTCATCACTCCTGACCTCGGGAGCGCCAGTGCCAGCCTCGGAAAAACCCACTCCAAAACCCTACCAGGCGCTCACCCAGGCTAGGGCCTCGGTGCCCACTCGGTCCTGTCGCCCTCTCTTCTCTCTCTGTTCCTGTCTCTTCTTTCGTCTCTCTTGCAGCCTTCCCGTTTCTTTTTCTCCTGTCCTAATTGTCTATTCCCCTCTCTTGTTTCTTTTCTCCTACGTTTCTGTCTCCTTTTCTCTGCTCTGTCTCCTGATATTCTCTCCTCCTTTCCCCTCGCTGTGTGTCACAGCCTCTCCCCGGATCCCTGTCGCCTCTGCCTTTTTCTCTCCCTGCGCTAAAGCAAGGAGGACACCCTGATGGCCCCTCTGGAAGCTGGGGGGTCTGATGAACAAAAGGACCTGGAGTTCTTCTCTCAGGGAGCCCAGCCTTCAGCTCTCCCCTAACCAGAGACAAGCCACCCGGCCTCGGCCCTTCCCACCCTCTCTGCTTTCTGGCCTGGATTGGGACCAGCCAACCTCACATACAGCCCAGTCCCTGTGTGGGGACCCCATCAAGGCCTACGTATCTGCCATCTCTCCCCTGGTCTCCTTTCTGTCCTTGGGCCTACACAGTCTCTGCACCACCCTCTCCCCAAGTCTGTTGATTTGGGGGGTGTCTCTCAGCAGCTCTTGCCTCCTTGCTTGACTCAGCCCTGAGGACCTCCCCATCCGCTCGCCCCAAGGCCTCACTCTCCTGGTGGCCACTTCGTCCCTATTTCTAGCCTAGGGACCCAGGCAAGGCCTGGGCTCCCGCCTCGGAGGGGCCAGCGCTTTCCAAAGGTAAAATCAGACTCTCAGAAAGAAGCTCCTGCAAACCCCAACCCCAGAACCCAGGGTAGGAAGATGCTCCGTTCCCCAGGATGCCTCTGCCCAGGCAACCAGAAACACTGAGCCCGGGACTTAGCCCTCCACCCAGGGCGGGCGCAGGCTGTGGAGCGGGGTCCCTCCCTGGCTCCGGCCACTGCAGTGCCCCTGAAGTGAGCTCTGCCCACCGGGCCGCCACACAGAGAAAAGGCGGGCGGGCAGAGCTCATATCTATTTTCTGCCCAATGTCCCCCCTCTCCCTCTTTTTCTCCTCCCTTCCCTTTTCCCTCCCACTCACCCTTCTCCGCCCCCACCTTCCTACCTCTGCTTCCCTCTGAATACAGCGCAAACTGGTCGGTGGCGACTGGAAGGCAGGGAACCTCCCCCGCCCCCCAGAACTGCCCATCCTTTTGTGCACCTCCTCAAAGCGGGCACCTTTACCCAGATTCCAGCTCGACCCCCTTCTCCTCAGCCCAGAGCGCCCGCACAGTTATCTGCCTCCCCATCCGCATCCCGGCCTAAGCCTCCTTTTGGGCTCGTAGTCGACGCCCCTGGATCTTTCTCCTAAAATGGCTCCCGGGACACTGCACACTAGCCCTGCGGCAGCTCAGGGCCCTGGGCAACGGCGGCGGGGCCCCAGCCGGGTCTGTATGTGTCCGGGGGCGCACAAAATTCTCGCGCCTTCTCTCTGAATGGGGTGGGGCGCAGGCATCCCTCTACCCCCCAAATAGAGTCTGCTGGCTGCCTGAGAGGGAAATGGGGAGGACGAACCATTCAAGTTCAACGACATGGCGATGGCGGCTCCGGCTGGAGCCGCGCTTTGGCGGGGGAGGTTCGCCATCTGCAGCGGCTCACGGGTGTAAAGAGAAAAGGGGAAGGCGGGCCCCCTCTGCGCGTTTGCACGGACCCCCGCCCCCACACCCAAGCCAGGGCTTTCGTCCTGGCACCAGCCCGCTTCGTCTTTGGGCCCCAGCTCCCTTCTCAATCTTTATCCCAAACCCAAAGAAAACCGCAACCTCCCAACCCGCGCGTCCCGCTCGAGAACCTACCGTGAAGCCCCCGGCGCGGTGGCGCTGTGGCCTTGTCCTTGCCTGCGCGACCCCGCTCGAAGCGCAGGGAGGGAGCGCACCGCACCCTCCCGCACAGCCCGCAGCTCCGCGAGTGGTAGCTTTCCGAGCAGCGCCTGGACGCTCTGCGGTGATTGTGAGCCACCCAAGATAAGACACTAACTTGACCTTAACTTTGTCAGGGCGCCCCTGGTATCTGGAGAACGTGAACAGACACTGTCTGGCAGCTCTCGTAAAAGCTGACTGGGGAAGGGATTCTGAGTCATTTCATTTATTGCCACTACAGTTCTGCAAGAAAGCTTTTCCTCCCTGCCAAACTTTAATTATTTATGCTCTTTTAGGAAACGAAAGAAGAGGAGAAGCGAGGGGAAAACACCCAGAGCCAGTCCCTTCCTGCAGAGCCTTCGGAATGGGCTTCCTAAGTCGAGTGACTGGAGAACAACAACAACAAAACAAAAAAAATGTGGGGAGACCACCTTTGTCCGAGGATGATCGGACAGGCGCCGAGCACCCCCTCCCCCACCCCCACCGCCACTAAGGTGGGTGGATGCAGCTGGGAGAGGCGGGGTGAAAGGGCACCCCCTTCCAGGCACACACATGAATATTTACAACAGTTCTGGATTTCTCCTCCACCCCAACCCCCTGCCTCCCGGAAGCCTCCCCAGCCCGCCTCCCTTGGGGAGAGCCCCAGGCCTTAAAAGCGTCCTGGTAGGCTCCCTGAGTTCGCAGCCATTGAATGCCAGACGAAGCAGTTTTTGTTTTGTTTGTTTTTTTCTCGTTTAAAAACCGTTTTCTTGGTAAAGAGGCCTGCCTGGACTGCAGCATTTCCGAGTACGCATTTGTCTTTGTGCGAGGGAATGTTGAGCACTCAGACTTCAGCATCCTTTCTCTTGGGCGTTTGTTTCTTATGAATTTCCTCGTGGTTCCAAATCCTCGCCGGGATTTCAGCCACCGCTGCTACAGGAGAGAGGGCACCGCCACCCCACCGCCTTTGTGTTTGTGCGGATCGGTAAAAGGGATAGATTTGAAAAGCATTGCCCAAGCCATACGCCACGGATAAGATTTTACCCTTAGAATAATTTCAATCTGTTTGGGGAGTGGTCTCCATGAATATCTCCTCCCACCCTACAAGCCAGGCTAAAGAGAAAGAACAGGATGCTTTAATGATATATATTAGAAAGAAATGGCCTCCTGCATGCGGTCTCAGGTCTTGGGTTTACGTCTGGCTTCCTGTTCCTTTACCCAGCCCCTGAACCTGAGGTCTGAGAATGGTCTCCTCTTTTGTTCGGATGTTTTTGAGAACCAGCTCCAGGTACCAATGCCTCCCTGAGCCCCACAAAATGGGGAAACATTTCTAAAGAGAGGGTCCCCCCAGCCTCTTGGTTCCTTTTTCCTCCGTTGTATTTTTTAAAGGAGCTACTTTAAAAATATTTTTAAAGTACACATCAAATTCGATTGTGGGAAGGGGAATTGGAACCATTAAGTACTCACTATTGGAGATTTGGCAGTTTTGACCATTGTCCCACTTGCTAAAAACTAGAAATTCTTTACTTTCCATCTCCAAGCTAGCTGGAGCTGGGGTCTATAAGAGGATGGTGAATACAGCAGGCCTTTCCTTGCTTTCCCTGACTGAGCTACAGGCTCGGAAGGCCTAGGGTGCAGAGGCCACATTTCCCAAGGGAGTTTGCTAGGCTGAAGGCAGAGGTGCCACAGGGCATAGCCTTTTCCAGAGAAGGCTGACCAAAACATGGCAGGGCGAGATGTTTGTATTGAAATATGAGGAACCTCATATCTTGGCAGCCTCCATCCCCCTAACAATAGCAAGCTTTCAAGTTTGAGAATTTAGGCAAAATGCAGAAGCCCCTGCCTGCAATAAGCTGAGGGTTTGCTTCATGTGTGAGACACACTCAAATCTGTCCAGGAATCCCCCTCTTTGGATATTTCACACACATTTTGTTCATACATCATTTCCTGACTGACTTGGAAGACATCTTCTCATCTAATGAACAATCAAGTCAATACCTACAGTGAAACGGCAACCAGGAAAGAAAAACTGGATTTCGTGGCCTGAAAAACATTAGGAGGGAATCCGAAACGTTTTGATAAATCAACATCAGTCCCTTGACAGCTTGGCTGGGACCTGGATATTTATTTCCACTCAAAACATTTCTATGTGTCTGATATATACAAGCTATTGTTTTTGACAAAATCAAAACAAAACAAAACATGCATGACAACTATTAGATAGCAAAGAAAATGCAATTAGTCTAAATATCAACTAAAGTCAGTTTGGCAGAGGCTCAGGGGCTCCTTGTGAGGTGCCCACTCTAGATCTAGGGCCTGGTCCTCCACTGAAAATAAATCATTGGACTTAGGGAAGGAATTTCCAAGCTCTTAGGCTGTTATGCATCTTGCTAGGAGTTGGGGGCGCTAATTCACAGAAGGAGAGGGAAAAGAAGCAGGGATGGTAAAAAGGAGTTTAGGGGGCCCTCGGGTTCAATGAGGTTAAGGCAGGATACCCCGGCACATGTGGAACGACTCCTTTTGGCATCCTGGAACCCCAGCCTCCACAAAGTAAGCCTAGCAAAGCCCAGGGCCTTTCAGACTCCACGGGGGCAGGCCAGCGATGGCCTCAGAAAGGGCACAGTGTTTGGGCCCCTCCTGGACTTGGAGGGGGGTGGAGAGGAAGAGGGGAACTTCTACTCCTCTCTACTTGGTCAAGAGCAGCTGTGAGGGGCCCAGGATCTGAGGGAACTCCTTCCTTGTCTGCCTCCTGACTGATCGATGGAGGAGCCTTCACTTCTCCTTGCAGTGGCCCGTTACTATAATTTAAGGAAGAAAGACATGTTGACACCTTTACCCACCTTGACAGGAAAGTCATATTTATATTCGGAATGTAGGACACCCCCTCCCCCTTGCTCACTCCATTCTCCTGCCCCTGGACATTTCTCCCTCCTTTTAATGCAGCCCAGCCCCAAAGCAGCCTAGCAGCTCCTCATCAGAGCTCACCTCTGGGGGTCCAGTTACAGAGCGCAGGGCTTTGGCCTAGGCGTGTGTGAGGAGGTGAGAGAAGTAGGGGAATTTTACCAGTCTTGGCTATGAAGTGCAGTTTGCCATGGAGCCTGGCCTCCCTTGCCCCATTCATGGGAAGGAAGTATCCAGTCCATTCCACCAAGCTGGAGGAGCCATTCCAGCCTGAACTCCGAGGTGTTTCTGAGTTTGTAGGGCCACACTCCTTCCCCTTTCCTCCCGAAGTCTGGAGATCTAGGGCACTTTAGTCCTCCCAAACCATCCAGGGCAGAGAGCAGGGAGTGGTGGTGGCACCCTCTCCTTTCTCCAAAATCAGGATTCCGGCTTTTCCACAAGGGGCTTTGGCTGCAAAGAGACACAATTGTGCCCACAACCCTTTCCATTCTGCCCTGGAGGCCTTCCTGAATTCAATTGCCTGCTAAATGTAGAAGGAATTGGGGAGGAGGGGAAGGAGACTAACTATGTGAAAGCCGAAATCCAAGTAAAAGGGAGCTGGAGTGAGCCCAGGTTTAAATGCTAAGACAGGTGCGCCTAGGCCCCCACTGGGGAAGCCTCAAGGCCAAGGTTGTGCCGCAACTTCCACAGCCCCTCCGGGAAAGGGGAAAGCCTGGAGGTCTCCAAATCTGACCAGGTCTCCAAATCTCCTGCTGGCTTTGGGGGCTGCAGACGAGCAGAGGGTACCTAGGACCAACTGAGAAGGAGCAGATGGAAAAGACCCCGTCTCAGCTCGTCCTCCACGCCAGGCTCCGGCTCAAAAAGGAAGGCCCGGCCATGGCCAGGCCCCGGGCTAGTACAGCGCCAGCGCCTGCTCGCGCAGCACCACGCGCTTCTTCTTCATACGACGATTCTGGAACCAGATTTTGACCTGCTGGTCGCTGAGGTTCAGCCTGTTGGACAATTCCTTGCGCTTCTGCCGGTTGATGAATTCGTTCAGGAGGAATTCGTTCTCCAGCTCTGCAATCTGCTGCTTGGTGTAGGGTTTCCGCTTCTTGCGGGCCCTCCCAGGGGCCGCCCCCCACGGCAGGCCTGCAACACAGCCCGAACCCTAGTCAGCCCAGCCTGCTCCCTATAGCCTGCCCGCCCCCGGAGGCTCCCTCCCCCTACACGCTCTCCCCTGCACCCCACCTCCCATTCCGGCCCCTGCTGGCCCGGGGAGCACGGCCAATGTTTACCGTCGGGCAGCGAAGGTCGCAGGCAAGATGCGACGCCCGCTGCCTGCACTGTCATGTTCAAGTTGAGCGGGGCCCTTGGCGTCGTCCTTGAAGCGGGCGCGCAGGGGTCCCCTCAAGCAGGGGCCGCAGAGCCGGGCGCGGCGCGGCCCACACCCGCCGTAGTCGTACTTTGGACAATTTGAGATCAGCGCCTGCCGGGGGCCAGGCTAGACTCCGGGGCAAGGGTGGCCGCGCTTCGGCCAACGCTCTCAGGCCCGGAGACCGCGGTCGGGCGTATAGAACTTGGCCTGCTCGTCGGGTCGGTCCTTGGCGCCCAGGGGCTGCAGGCCAAGAGGCCCGGAGCCAGCCAGGTAGGGCTGCGAGAAGCTGCCGAAGGCGGTGGCACCGGCAGGCTGCGCCGGGGCGCAGGAGGCGGGCGTGGTGGCCCAGGGCAGCGCGCCGCGCGGGTATGAAATGGGGGGAAGCGCGGCCAACTGGCCTCCATTCGGCCGCAGGTTGGAGAAGTAGAAGGAGTCGGGAGACTGCAGATTCAGAAGCGAGCCCACATAGCCCGCTCTGTAAAGACTGCGCTCACACATCTCCAACAAAGGGCTTCGGCTACGCTCGCAGCAGTATTTAGTTACAACCGGGAATAAGAGGACAGGCTCAGACGATTGGACGAAACTTTGCCTGCAGGTTCTTCAAAGCCGGTCATTTCAGCACCGCCTACATCCCCCGACCCGGTTTTCCCCCCCTTCAGGGTATTATGATAACACCCGCAATATTTGATGGTGAAGGACAAGGCTGCCAGGCAGAGCCAAGGCAGGTTGAGGGGAGGCGAAGCCCCTGTGAGTTTCCAGGCCCAGTGCAAGGAGCTGGGGGCATCGGGCATAGGGTGCCTTTGCCCGAGTGTCCCTTGGGACCCTTCTTGGTCTTGATTGGCTTTGCACTGCCGTTTCCTCCGCTTACCTGGGCCAGGCTTGCTTCTCCCAGCTTTAAGCTGCAGCCGAGGCCTTTTCCAGTACCCGGTGACTCTCGGCTTGTCGGAAGATCCTGTGGTCTGGGGCGGCCACCAGCTCTCTCCCTAGGCCTAAGCCATGCTACTCCCAACCCGTTCCTCCCCGTCCGGCCGGTCTCCCTGGAGAGGACTCTTCACCGGTGACCTGGCAGCGGAGACCCACGCACTGCCCGAGTCCTGGGTCCGGGCTGCAGGCACAGTCCCAGAGTTCTGATGATGGAGAAGGGCATCACAGACGCTCCCAACTCTGGCGCCCAGGAAGGAGGCTTCACACCAATCCTGGGTGCTTCCTCACGGCCAAGCCCTCTGCTCCGGAGGAGGCCCTGGCGGGGCAGCTCGATTGGCCAAGGCTACATTCCTTTTACCGCAAGGAGTCACCTTGGCGACTACATCCCGCAAAGCAGAAGTCCAAGGTGTTTATCCCTCTGTGGCGGGCAGAGCAGGCCGAGCTCCCCCAACCTGGTGAGGAAGGAGAGCGGAGCCAGAGCTACCGGCCAGGAACAGCGGGGCCCGCGGAGGAAGAGGGCCAGCAGCCGCCCTCCGCTCAGCGCCTCCGGGGGCTCGGGAGGCCGGCGGGTTCCGGGGACCCGCCAACGCGGAGGTGGGCGGGGCAGCGCTCCATCGCCGGGAGCCCGCGGCAGCCCCCGCAGCCGGCCCTGGGTCTAGTCTGGTCAGAGGGCTAGGGGTCCTCCTCTCCTGCCTCCGGCCCCGAGACCCCCAGCGACCCCGTGGCTGCAGCCCGCCCCAGCCGGCAGCCCGCCTCGCGGTGCCCGAGCCAAGCTGGAATTGGTTAGGCCGCCAGCTCGGCACCGAGACCACACAGGCGCCGCCGGAGGGCACCGCTGACCACCGCGCTGCGACTTTATTGTGTGAGTTATGGCGACCAATTGGGCGGCTCTGGGGAACGCAATCGGCCTCTTCCTCCCGCTCTAGGGCGGGGGTAGGGGGTGGGGGTGGGCAAGTCGGGGGCTCCTCAGACTGTCGGTTTCCTTAGGAGCTCAGACACTGAAACGCACTCCCCTCCCCGTCCTTTCATGATGCGGAGGGGGGAGGGGGGCAGACACAAGCTGCAATCTCAGTTCCTAGGGACTTAGGGGACCCAGGCGCTCATTTTTGGAAACTCGCCCCGTTTTTGAGGAGCTACAGCCTCCCCAGGCTCGAAAGGTCCAGCTCCAGGGGTCCCTGCCGTCTCCTCTCCTCCCATCTCAGTAAACAGAGATCCGGTATTTCCAAGTCTACCCCAACACTTAGCAGTCGCACGGCTGCGGTTTGCCAACCCCTCTGACCCTCCCCCCCCGACAAGGAGATGGGTGAAGAAATCAGACCCTACAAGCCTCCTACTTACAATAAAAAAGAAAAAAGCGTGTTTTTCTTTTTTCCGTAGGGACCCGTCCCCAATTAATTCAGAAGTGTTCGGAGTTAGAGGGAGCAGAGGAAACAAGTCTATTTTTTTAGCGGGGGAATTTGTTACAAGAGATGGGTGGCCTCTGAATGAGCAACAAAGGTCTCTCGACTGTGATGCGAAGTTGAAAAGAGTAATTTGTATCGAAGTCGAACGTGGAGACCTCAGAAGCGCGCATACGCTTAACAGGTACTGTATAAGGACCAACACGCTGTGGAGCGCGCGCCGGCCAGGCAGACAATCAAAAAA